TTTGTATGTGCATAGCACATTTTCTTTATCATTTCATCCATTGGTGTACATTTAGGTTGTTTCCCCATCCCTAAGCTATTGTGAATATTGCTGCCATAAACATAGGAGTGCATGTTATCTCTTCAAGATCTTGATTTCGATTCTTTTGGATATATACCCATAAGAGGGATTGCTGGATCATATGGTAGTTATATATATATATATATATATATATATGTATGTATGTATGTATTGAGACAAGCTTTTGCTTTCAAGCTTTTGCCCTGGATAGAGTGCCGTGGCATCATCATAGCTCACAGCAGCCTCCAACTCTTGAGCTCAAGCGGTCCTCTTACCTCAGTTTTTTCTATTTTTAGTACAGAAGGGGTCTCAATTTTTTGCTCAGTCTGGTCTTGAACTTGTGACCTAAAGCAATCCACCCTGCCTCAGCCTCCCAGAGTGCTAGGATGATGGGAATTGAGCCACCATGCCCAGCTGTTTTTAATTTTTTGAGGAACCTCCATGCTGTTCTCCATAGCTGGTCTGCGTCATTTTACATTCCTACCCAATAGTGTTGGGTTCTAACACAAGGGTTGTGATTTCTCCACATCCTTACCAGCACTTGTTACCTTTTGTTTCTTGAGTAATAACCATCCTACCAGGTGTAAAGTGATATTTTATTGTGGTTTTAATTTGACAAATCACTTGCATTGTAACACATTCAGATTTTCAAAACAAGCCTCAAAACAGACTGCCTATGTGAGGTAGAACTGTAAATTTATTTTTTCCCATATTCATGGCCAGTTGTCCCAGTGCTTTTTATAGAATCTTTCCCTACTAATTTGTGATGATGTTTTTCACACATATCATATCTCTACATGTATGTGAGATGTGGTTCTTCTTTTCTTTTTCTTTTTTCTTTTTTTGAGACAAGGTCTTGCTGTGTTGCTCAGACTGATACTTCTGTGCTCCAGTGAGCTTCTCAACTAGTCTCCTGAGTAGCTGGGGTTATATACCACATAGCCACACCACTTTGGTTCCTTTTTTAGTGTGTGCTATTTTTATTGGTCTTTTTGCTTCTATCTATACAAATATCACATTTTCTTAATCACAGCTTTGGACTTTATAACTTTGGGCATGTTAATTTCCCTGTGCCTATGCACTTCACCTATGAAATTATGATAATAGAACCTACCTTGTTGGGTAATTAAAGGAGTAAATGAGCCAATAGAGTAAAAGTGTTCAGATTTATGCACCTAGCTCAAGAGCAAAAACCAAATGTAGTAATTTTGTTATTAAAAGTAATTTCTGGCTCGGCACCTGTGGCTCAAGTGGCTAAGGC